CTTATCTAACATCGCTTTGTAATACAAAACTAGATCACCTATTTGGTATGACACAATTTTCTTTAATTTTTCATCATATTGATCTTTCTGTTTTTGTTGTTCTTTTTGCAAATTTTGTTGAACCATATTACGAATAATTGGCAGCTGATCTAATTGTTTTTTCACATAGTTGAGCAAGAGGGATTCCTCCTCTATTTCTATACTATTTATTAGTGATTCAGCTTCTTGTCCATATACGAGAAAAAAGGGTGATATTTTTGTAATAGAATGTTCATTTGTGTGATAAGCAAAAAGTGCAAGGGCAATAAAACGATCCCAATCCTTTTGATAATTAATAGCAGTTCGTGCAAGGGCTTCTATTAAAGTTCTATTGAACCTTTCAACTAATCTATTAGTCTGTGGATGATATAGCATTAACATTCTATGAAGTATTTTGAATTTTTGTAATAATTCATATAATAATTGATTATTAAAATATGTATTACGATCAGTAAGTATTTCTCTAGGACATCCATGTTGGCAAATTATATCTTCATACATGAATTATACGGTTGTTTTAGTATTATTATGCCTTACAGGCTTAGCTTCTAGCCACTTTGTTAAATAGTCTATAGCAACAATTATATACTTATTTTCTTTACTTAAAACTGGTAAAGGTCTAACATAATATATTTCAATACGATGAAAAGGTTGTCCAATAGGTATAGGATGTAGAGGTTCTATTCTGAGGCTCTTCCTTTTTTCTGACAAGAGTCATATTATTGTACATAATTCTTGATATCCTCAAACATTTGAGGTCAATAAAAACGTTTTCTAATTTTCTCCACCTTTTCTTTTGAACTATGTGCAGCAGTTAAGTCATTGTAAAACATATAAAGTGCAGGTTTCAGTTCTGTTTTCTTGAGTACTCTAATTGGATTGCTTGAAATATTTTTGTTAATTTTATATAATAAATTATGTTTGATAATATAATGTTTTGATAATATGTTTAATTTGTGTTGTTGTGTTTGGTTAAAAGTAGAAGGGTATGTTTGGTTAGTTAAATAATTAAATAGCTGATTATATTGTTGTTCTTTCATATTTAAGAATTTAAGCTGTTTATCACGTTGTAAACGCTTTCACTTTTACTTAATTCTTTATATTATGTATTAATGATTTGATTCAATAAAAGGGGGAAAGGGGTGCATTATCAATGTCACTAAGGTGAAAATATAATTGTGCACGAAGGTTTTCCTGTTATACTAAGAGAGATTCTTTCCATAAAAGGTTATTAGTTAAATATTCTGGTTTTATGTCTGGTTGTATTTTTCCTAGATCATATCCAATAACACAGTCATGAATGATAGTTCTATACAATAAATTTTTCTTGCATGCTTTATAATATATGTGAACATAATAGTTTTCAGTATCACATGAAAAGTGCATTGTGATCCTCCTCTGGTAATGGGTTGTCCAGTGATTACTTGTTTAATCTTTATGTTTTCATGATAGATTTTCTCTAGTTTATCGTTAGGAGATTTATACCCAATAGCAGTTAATAAGACAGTATTAGAGTATTGTTAAGACAATTCCTCTTCAAACCATTCATCATTTTCTCCAGATTTAAGAGAAGAAATATGCCATTCTATATCTTCTTTTATACTGATGTTTTCATTCTCATCGTTAGCTATATCCGTTTTGATAAGATTAATAATGAAACATTCAGCAGTTTCTTTATCATACATGCAAGACAATGCATCTGCATTTGCATTATGTTTTCCTGCTCTATGTTCTATATTAAAATGGTATTGTTGTAATTCTATAATCCATCTAGCACGTCTCCCTTTTGGCATTTTTGAGGTTTTCAGCCATTTTATAGCAGCATGATCAGTTACAATGGTGAATGGTCGACTAAGATAGTGATGAATATGCTTTATTGACCAAATAATTGCTAGACACTCTAAGTCAGTGATGGGATAATTTTCCTCAGTTTTGTTAGTCAATCTGCTAACATATGCAATAACATATTTTTTTCCATCTTTCTTTTGAGATAGTACAGCACCTAATCCTTTCTTTGAAGCATTAGTATATAAAGTAAAGGGTATTTCAAAGTCAGGGTACTGTAAGATTGGTGCTTTGATAAGCCTTTCTTTT